GTATTTTTGTTTGATTATTTTTGAATATCCCACCCTTTAGAGGAGGGGCAGGTCCGACTTAACGATAGATCAGCGATAAGCCTCGGACAACTGAACTGCACGTTCCTGTGCGGGAGGGACCATCAAGCCACTGTCCGCGATCAGTGGGCGACTGGGGGTCGATACGTTCCGCTCTGAACCTATCCTTAGGTCGGGCATGTCCCCCTACAGGCGGTTTTTCGACGAATAAATAAAAAGAACCCAAAATACAAAATTACACCAACAAACGAAAGCGCGTTTTAACAGTGAATTGAATCAGCAGCGTAGTGTCAGCATCGTAGTGTCAACAGCGTAGTGTCAACAGCAAAGTGTCAACAACGTAGTTTCAACAGCGCCCTGTCAACAGCGTAGTGCCATCAGCGTAGTGTCAACAGCGTAGTGTCAACAGCGCAATGTCAACAACGCAGGGTCAACAGCGTAGTGTCGACAGCGTCGTGTCAACAGCGTAGTGTCAAAAACGTAGTGTCAACAGCGTAGTGTCAACAGCGTAGTGTCAACAGCGTTGTGTGAACAGCGTAGTGTCAGCAGCGTAGTGTCAACAGCGTAGTGTCAGCAGCGTAGTGTCAACACCGTAGTGTCAACAGCGTAGTGTCAACAGCGTACTGTCAGAAGCACAGTGTCAACGGCGTTTGTCAACAGCAAAATGTCAACAGCGTAGTGCCAACAGCGTCGTGTCAATAGCGTCGTGCCAACAGCGTCGAGTCAACAGCGAAGTGTCATAAACGTAGTGCCAACATAATAGTGTCAAAAACGTAGTGTCAACAGCGTAGTGTCAACAGCGTAGAACCAACAGCGCAGTGTCAACAACGTAGTGTCACCAGCGTAGTGCTAACAGCGTAGTGTTAACAACGTACTGTCAAAGCGTAGTGTCAACAACGTAGTGTCAGGACCGTACTGTCAACAGCGCAGTGTCGACAGCGCAAGGTCAACAGCGTAGTGCCAACAGCGTAGTGTCAACAGCGTCGAGCCATCAGAGTTGTGTGAACAGCGTAGTGTCAACAGCGTAGTGTGAACAGCGTAGTGTGAACAGCGTAGTGTCAATAGCGTAGTGTCATCAGCGTAGTGTCAACAGCGTAGTGTCAACACCGCAGGGTCAACAGCGCGGTGTCAACGGCGTACTGTCAACAGCGCAGGGTCAACAACGTAGTGCCAACACCGTAGTGTCAACAGCGTAGTGTCAACAGCGTCTTGTCAACAGCGTTGTGTCAACAGCGCAGCGTCAACAACGTAGTGTCAACAACGTAATGTCAATAGCGTCGTGTCCACAGCGTCGTGTCAACAGCGTAGTGTCAACAGCGTAATGTCAACAGCGTAGTGTCAACAGCGAAGTGCCAACAGCGTAGTTTCAACAGCGCAGTGTCAACGTAGTGTCAAACACGTAGTGTCAACAGCGTAGTGTCAACAGCGTGGTGTCAACAGCACTGTGTGAACAGCGTAGTGTGAACAGCGTAGTGTCAACAGCGTAGTGTCAGCAGCGTAGTGTCAGCACCGTAGTGCCAACACCGTAGTGTCAACAGCGTACTGTGAACAGCGCAGTGTCAACGGCGTTTTGTAAACAGCAAAGTGTCAACAGCGTAGTGCCAACAGCGTCGTGCCAACAGCGTCGTGTCAACAGCGTAGTGCAGAGATGGAATCGTAGAGCCGCTCCTCATAACTCCAACAGCGTAGTGTCAACAACGCAGTGTCAGGGATAGGGCCGTAGGTCTGCTCCTCTTAATGCCAACACCGTAGTGTCAACAGCGCAGTGTCAGAGATAGAAGCGTAAAGTATTTTCCCATCGGCGTAGTGTCGGAGATAACAGCGTAGAGCATCTCCTCTCAGCGTAGTGTCAGAGATAAGAGCGTAGAGCATCTCCTCTCAGCGTGGTGTCAGAGCTAGGAGCGTAAAGCATCTCCTCTCAGCGTTGTGTCAGAGATAGGAGCGTCGAGCATCTCCTCTTAATTCCAACAGCGTAGCGTCAGAGACAGGAGCGTAGAGCATCTCCTCGTGCATCTCGTCTGAATGCCAACAGCTTAGTGTCAGAGACATGAGCGTTGAGCATCTCCTCTTGCATCTCCACTTAATGCCAACAGCGTAGTGTCAGAGACAGGAGCGCAGAGCATCTCCTCGTGCATCTTACTGCCAACAACGTAGTGTCAACAGCGTAGTGTCAGAGACAGGAGCGTAGAGCATCTCCTCTTGCATCTTTGTGCCAACAGCGTAGTGCCAACAGCGTAGTGTCAACAGCGTAGTGTCAACAGCGTAGTGTTAACAGCGTAGTGTCATTTTTTTTATTTATAAAAAACAGCCGCAGGCGGAAGCGCCGGCGGCGAGCAGTCACGGTCGGGCTGCGGCCGCGACTAAATTCCCGGGCGCGCGCGGGGGCCGCGGATCAGGCGGCGGGGGGGGCGGCAACCCAGGGCGTCTGAGAGGCCAGGCGGTCGTGCAAGCCCAGGGAGTCTGAGGGGTCAGTCACCTGAGGCGGTCGTGCAAGCTGCAACCCAGGGAGTCTGAGGGGTCAGTCACCCAGGAGCAAGCCAGGCGCGGCCAAAATGGCGCGCAGTGCGTTCCCGGTCGTGGTCGTGCCGAGACAACCGCAGCGTAGTGTCAACAGCGTAGAGTCAAAAACGTAGTGTTGATTCACTCGGGGTTACGTAGTGTCAACAGCGTAGTTTCAACAGCGTAGTGGTAATTCTCTCGGGGTTATGTAGTGTCAACAGAGTAGTGTCAACAGCGTAGTGTTGATTCACTCGGGGTTACGTAGTGTCAACAGCGTAGTGTTAATTCACTGTAGAATTATATATTTCATTGTTAGAAGAGCTCTTGAAAAACTGCTCCAAAAATCGGATCCGGAGTATTCTTTTGACTATTTTGGAATGTTCCTCCTGTAGAGGGACAGGCTCGACTTAAACCTACCCCTCTCGAACGTCGCCCCGGGTTCTCGGGTCACAACTCGGCTCTCTGGCGGCCGTTCGGGAAGACCCGAACATCTCCCGAACGCCTTCGGCGAGGTGCAGCTGCCGCAAAGCACCCCAGGGCCACAAAACTGCGGAGAAGCGACGAAGCTGCACGTAAACTTCCAACACCTCGAGCCCGAACAGGTTCCCCCCTGAGGCTATCCCTAGGTCGGGCATGTCCCCCTACAGGCGGAGTGTGGACGAACAATAAAATTAGTTAAGACATACCCCAAACATAAGCAATAATGGTCAAACAATCGTCCCAAGAGTACTTTTTGATTATTTTTGAATATTCCTCCTGTAGAGAGACAGGCCCGACTTGAGCCTATCCCCCCCTAAAATTGCCCCTGACTCACTTTCGGGGAGACGTGAGACTCGGGTACGGGGGACTCGGATTGGCCTGACGAGGCCATCATGAAAACGACGAGGCCCGATCTGAAATCTGACGCGAGCTCTCGCTGCAAACATCCCACGAAAACTGGACCGTCAACATCCAGGACGCGCTCGTCAAAAAACTCCTGCAAACCCGAGTTCCGGCTTACTCGCTGATCCGAGTTTACGATCGCACCGATCCATGTTTGCGATCGCCTGATATTTGCCACCGAAGCCTCCTCCTCCTCCTCTTCCTCCTCCACCTGTCCCCCTCATAAATTGCGCCTGATTCCGTTGTCCGACCCGAGGTCTGCAGGCGCGTCGGGCCCTCCGGGTGCCGCTGGCCCCCTGCGGCCGCCCCGAGCCGCCTCCCCTAGCGGCAAGTTGCTCGGGCGCGGCGCTGCTGCGAGGCGTCAGGTCCGTGCCGCGACGATGCCTACCCGTGGCTGATCCACGCCCCCTTAATCCATGTTTGCGATCGCCCGATACTCGGCTGCACGCAGGAGTGACCCTAGTCTCAGGTCGGGCATGCCTTTCCTACAGGCGGATGTTGGACACAAAATACAACATAGTCAGAACATTATCGAAGACAGTCAGAAAATAGCAGAAACATCGTCCCCAGACTATCTTTTGACCATTTTGGAATTTTCCTCCTGTAGAGGGACACGCCCGACTTAACCCTGGTCAGGAGTGACCTTTGGTGCGCGGCTTTAGGGGGCCGCGGGGGGGCCAAATCCAAGGGCGCCAGCCAATGCTGGAGGGGCCCGCGCCAAAGGCTGCTCCAAGGAAGGGCCACTCTTGCGCGAGGCTGGTCTGCGCTGGTAAGGCTTCGGGCTGTGCACAGGCAAACCCCCCAGCTGGCCTCAACGAGCTCCCCGAGTAGTCCCGGGCGGTCTCAACAGCCTGGCGCCGCCTCTGGCGGCGCCCTTGGGGCGCTCCGCGCCCAATGCGTTGGGGTGTTGGGACTGCCGGTGCTACCCTGGAGGGGCGGTCTGTGCACAACCCGAAGCCTGGGCGACGCAGCAAACACATCGCGAGACGGCTGGCTTTTTCGTCGGCCGCGGCATCTGGATTCCGTTTCCGGGCCCCAGGCCCGTCAACAAAAAACGACTCAGGATGTAGAGCCTGCCCCGGGGAAGTGGTTGAGATCCCCAGGAGCCGACGTCACGAACAGCAATGAAACGTCGGAGGAGAGGCTTGGTTTCTGACACCGTGTGGATCCTGCAACCTTGAACGATCACGGCTTTCCGATCGCGCAGGTTGTTCGATATCACCACCGGCAGCGTTCAACCTTGAACGCTCGCGCTGGGGTCGCCGCCGCGTCGACACGACACGAACCTGCCGTAGGCACGCCGGAGCACTCGAGCTCGGCAAGAGCGCTCGAGCTGGCGGAGATAGGATGCCAAAGACGTGCGTAAACTACGAGCGTAATCTTGTGGGAGTCCTCGCCGCCCTCTTCGCTCGGCGCTGGGCCCCCCTCCGGGTGAAGCGCGTCAGAGCCGCCACCAGGGGGACCCAGCGCCGACCCGAGGAACCAGCGCGGACCTCTGGAAGCCAACGCTTGTGCCGTTTTCTGCACGCGCCGCCGAATTGGCCTCGCCCGTCCGTCGCCCCTCTCGGGGCTCCCGCGGCCTCAGACCGACAGCTGCCGCCTCAACCCTTGCTGGATGCAGCCAGGCAGGGGTCTGGCTGTGTGCACGGTGGGCGCTTCGCAGCCAATCTCCGCGCCCCCCTCGATGCCTTGTCTGTTGAGCCACCTCCCGACGGGCTCGTGTTCCGCGCTTCGTGGCAACTCCCAGAGACTTTTTTTTTCCTCCCAGTCCAATTGTCCGCTCTGTGCTGCACGCTCGCCGCTGGTCCTGGACGGGTTTATCCCGCATCCCTTCGGCCCTTCCCTCCGGCCAGATTCGGCCTTGACTCCAGATCCTTTTCGGGCACTGGGGACACAAACAATACTCCGCGACGGGAGACAAGTCTTGGGGATGGGGTTGATAGCTGCAGGGGCCTATGCCATGAAAGGAGGTCTGAGTTGGGAGGCCTGGGAAGGAGGAAGAGGAATGGGGAATGGGAGTGGAAGCGGGACGGGAGGCGGAGGAGGAGGAGGAGGAGGAGGAGGAGGAGGAGGAGGAGGAGGAGGAGGAGGAGGAGGAGGCGGAGGAGGGAAAGGAGGAGGAGCCACGTGCGTCCGAGCCCACTCCTCTTGCCGCACATGGCGGCCGAGGCGGCGGCTAGCGCGGCCCCTTCAGGTGCCCGCGATATCCAGAACACCTAGCTTTAGGTCGGGCATGTCCACCTACAGGCGGATTTTGGACAACAAGTGGAAAACAGACAAAACATACTCAAAGATGGTCAAACATAGTAAAACAAATCATCCCCAGACTACTTTTGAATTTTCCTTCTGTAGAGGGGCAGGCCCGACTTAAACCTAGCTGGCTGTCTTGTTCTCTCGCACCCCTGCGAGTGGCCATGGCCGACTTCCACGTCGGCTGCATACCACGGCGTCCACCGCGCAATCCCGCAGCAGCCCCGCCTGGCAGAGGCGCCTCTGCCGCGCGCGCGCGCCAAATGCGCGCGTGCGGAAACGCATCGCCAACACACGGTGCCTCCTCCGCGCTCACCGCGACGCCCAACAACCACCTCGACTTCAAGCATCTGCCATGGCGCTCAGAACAACATCCAAATACCGACCCAAATGGCAACCGCGGCCACACAACGACCACAACCGTCACACCGAGACAGGCAGCACGATCCAAGCCGGCAGTCGGCGCGGGGGACTGGCAAGGTGGAAAAAGGGCAACCCCTGCTGGAATTGGCAAAGCGACAAGAGAACCCAGAAGGACAATAACCATATCGCCAAGCACGAGACGGAAGAGGACCGTCAGGACGACAACGAGAGGACGACTACACAGCACAGCGCCATCATCAACACCATCACCTCGACAGTCTTACACATGAGGAAGAGGACGCGACCAACCACCCTCCATTGAGGGAGCCGCCAAGATCCTCATTGGCGTACTCCGCATGGAGGAACCACAGACTTCAGGTGCTCGAATCCTATGCGCTCGTCGCACACAGGAACAGCCACGCCGAATTACCCATAGGGGACTCGCTCAGCAGGATCGCGCTCACCAGAGTCATGATCCAGAACACCCTCCCCATCAAAGACCAGCCCAAGGCCCTCGACGAGTACAGGAAGCCGCTCGAGGATGCACGGCGCAGCGCGCAGTAGCATCCCACCCAACTGCACGAATGCATCACCGAGGTCAACCGCAAATCCGACTGGCACTCGCAGGGCAAGAACGGAGGAGGAGGAGGGGGAGGAGGAGGAGGAGGAGGAGGAGAGGGATGATGATGATGATGATGATGATGATGATGATGATGATGATGATGATGATGATGATGATGATAGGAGGAGGAGGAGGAGGAGGAGGAGGGAGGAGGAGGAGGAGGAGGGGGAGGAGGGAGGAGGAGGAGAGGGAGGAGGAGGAGGAGCAGGGAGGAGCAGGAGGAGGAGGACGCGCAGAGCAAGACCTAGATCACTGGGGAAGAGGAGGAGTCGTCGGGCGGACGACGAGCACGAGGACCACACACCGCCAAGCAGAACCAGATAAATGAGCGCCACCCCACACCCAGACTCCTCCGTATCTCCTCCTCCTCCTCCTCCTCCTCCTCCTCCTCCTCCTCCTCTCCCTCCTCCTCCTCCTCCTCCTCTTCCTCCTCCTTATCTCCGCCTCCACCTCCTTCTCCTCCTCTCCCTCCTCCTCCCCCTCCCCCTCCTGGTCGTCGTCGATGTCTTTCAGGGTCGGCGGCACCGGCCGTCAGGCCTTCACAATCGCCAGGCAGAACCAGGTAAAGGAGCGCCACCCCACACCCAAGCCGACGACACAGTGGATACGTTGGAGCACCCTCACTGGGATTTGCAAGCGAGACCACCGCCGACAGCCACGAGATCCTCAACAAAAAGCTCCAGAGAGAAGAAGACGAGCCGACGGCACACTACAAGGACACGGCAGAGGCCCAGAAGCACCAGAAGAACAACATACAAAACGAATGCGATAATGACGTAACAAGCACGGAGGACAGCAACAAGTACCACGAGGAGATAGACACCCCCAATGACGACGGGCAATAACCACTAAAGACTGTCAGGAACCTTAAGGCCAACGGCGACAGTAACATCTACACGGGCAAGGAGGAGCACGAACATAAAGACAAATACCTCAAACAACATTCCGACAACCACATCAGGAAACACGAGGATAACAGCGTTAGGATCTACGTAGAGTCGATCAGGAGGGACGGGGCCGACCCCGAGACAACAAACAAGCATACGTCTACCGTATAATAACATGGCACGTACGTTACCGACGAACTTCAGGAAACATTGAAACAGAAAAACAACATCGCATAACACTATTCCGCCATCGACGGGACCACAACAGCGAACTCGACTGTCACAATCAATCTATTCACATGCAGAAGTGAGTGCCTCCAACACAACAAGCAACAGCACACACACAAAACAATCAGCCAGAAACAAAGATTTCGAGGAGAGCCAGGCCATCCGACTCCAATTAGAGGAGGACACCGACATGATGCTGGGCATGCGGCGAGAAGACACATGACGCGCGGCGCACCGGGCGACCGAACAGGGAGAAGATCCCACCTCACCGCGCCGCAGCGCTGAAGGACTGGACCCAAGCCGCATGATCGAGTACGAGGCCTACACCAACAACATCACAGACACTCCTGTCGAATATGCCTCACCGTAAACACGGACGACCTGGACGAGCACCGCAGGGCAGTAGACGAACGACATCACCATCTGCTACGGAGAGGACCAAGCACCGCTGGACCTTCCAAAACGAGCCCAGCAGCAGCCCGGCTGCGGACACACCATGATCACCATTTGGCGGCGCGCACAAGGGGGTGGAGGGAGGGGGGAGGGCTTCTTCGAAGGAGGCTGCTTCTTAGATGGCGCTGGCCTTACATCTATAGATAAGGCCCGCGCCTTCTAAGAAGCAGGGGTGCTTCTAAGACACCCTCCCCCCTCCCCCCACCCCCCTCTGCGCGTGGCTGAACCATCTTGAATCCTACCGACCCGACTCAACCCACCGACGCTGCCTCCACCTTCCGGAGCCCCATCCAGGCATGGGCGACTGCCGAACGCAGGGAACGACTGCACACGCAGCAGCGACCCCGGCGCAGCTCGGCGGCCACGACTCCCTGCCCCATGTTGCTTGCAGGGCCCGCTGCACGGGCCGCCCTTGACAGGAGGAGCAACAGCATCAATAGTTACCACCTCGCCCAGCGTCAGACCTCTCACGCTGCAGCCGCCCCTGCGGGGCGCAGCATTCCCATGCCTCCACCCGCTTCGCACCACGACAGCATCACCACTGCTCGGCTGGCTCCCACCTTTTCCACAACCCGCACTCCCACACCACGCCTTAACTACGCACTCACTGCCACCACGGCAGCCGCAGCACCAGCAACCACGCGGCACAACAGCGGCAACCCCTGCAACTCCGCACTGGGAGCGGCGCGCTCCAACTCCCGCGACTCTATGCTCTCCTAGGGCTGCCCAGCTGGACGCCTCCAGTTCTCTACGCCGTCCTCCACAACCGCAACCTCCTGTACTACGTGCACTTTGCCTCCTTTCACATCACATGCTCCATGGACGCTGGCCACTTCCTCTCCTACCTACTCTGATGCACCTCCAGGAGCACTAGCTGAAGTACCCCTAACTCACCTCTTCTTGCATCCCCCTCGCCGCGCTTTTCGTCCGCTCACCTTCTCCTCCCCCCCCACTGCGTCACGCAGCCACCCTTGGACGGGGACGGAGGCGGGCGGTCGGGAGCACCATGGACGGGCGGGGAGGACCAGAAGAGCCGCGCTCGGCACAGTCCGCCAGGGGAAGGTACAGCGTCCCCTGGAGGCCGTGGACCAGGCGGCCGCACCGCCACTGAGACACAAGGCGAGGGGACCACCGCTCGCCTCCCTCGGACTGTGGTGGTCCCACTCGGGTCACCTCCTCTCACCACCCTCGCACTTTTTTCCCACCTCTCGTGCTTTCCCTCCTCACAGGTCCGCTGCAGGCTCTACGCCTTGTTTCTACGCGCAGCGCCCACTCCTACTGCACCCACTCCTTACCCACACTGCTCCCTCCTGCTGCGTGCCGCCGCGTCGCACTCACCTTCACCCTGCACGCCTCCTTGGACCTCCGGAACCTCGTGATGTTTGGAAATGGCGGCTTCCACTCCAGGACAGACGACCCGACTTGGGCTCCAGCCCCCCATGGGGCTGGGATACACGCTCGGGCCACACCTGCATGTGCACCGGTCGCTCAACCTCACCCTGCGCCCCCCCCCTTTCAGGTGATCATCCGTCTCTCCTGCTTCTCTCTCTCTTCACCTCTTGGTTTTTGTTCCGCCCCTCCCCCCAGCGCTGCTGGGAGGGAGGGGGCTGCGAGGGCTTCGACCGTATCGGTGATGCAGTCCGCAGCTTCGAGCTTCGGATGGAGGAGGGAGAGAAGAGGGATGGCTAGGAGGAGGGAAGACCGTGGGTGGGCAGCGGGATGGAAGGGGGAGGAGGCAGAGGGGCGGGGGGGGGAGGTGGGATGGAAGGGGAAGTGAGGGGGTTGCGGAGGGGTGACACCAGGCCCCAGTGGGGGGCAACGCAAAAGCGGGTCTGGGTCGTGTTCCCCCCCTTGGCTGCACCCAACCCTGCGCCGCGGCCACGCTCTCGATCGCGCTGAGGAGCACTGGGCTTGCGCCCAGCGTCCAGGCTGGCGCCGCTCCACCTGAGGGCGACCTCGCTGAACCCACCAGCCCGACCCTCCTCCCCACACACCGCTCCCCTCCCCCAGTGAGTATAGTTCATCCGATCCCAATCCCCATCCTCATCCCCTTCGAGATCCCCTTCAAATTACCACCCCAGTTGGGGATACACCCCTCGAAGCCCGAAGAAAACTGCCTATATCCCCAGCTAGGAAGGTAAATCGGCCAGTGGGGCCCAGGCCACGCCGCTGGGGATGGGGATCGGATCCACGATACTCCCCCAGATCCGGGCTGGTAAGGCTTCGCGTTGCGCACAGGCAGCCCCACATGGTGCTCCCAGCTGGCCTCCAGAGGCTGCCCGAGCAGTCCGGGCTGGCCTCAGCAGACCCCCCTGAATAGTCTGGGGCGGTTGCGCCGCCTTCGGTGGCGCCCCTGGGGCGCTCCACGCTCCAAGGTTGGGGTGTTGAGGCCGCCCAGGACTACTCGGGGGGCCTGTCGAGGCCAGCCGGGACTCCTCGGGGGGCCTGTTGAGGCCAGCGGGCAGTACCTTGGGGGGCTGTCGATGCGCAGCCCGAAACCTCACCAAATCTCTTCTCCTCAGGTCCAGGCGTCGTAAACACATGGCCGACTCCAGAAACCTTGAACCGAAATGCCTTGCCTCGGCGGTGGACAAACCTCCTTTCAACAAACCACCCTTTAGTGAAAACGGCCTAGGACCGAAACCGACGGACCTGGACCCGCACAATTGACGGCCGCGACGCCCTCTCGCGAACCGAAAGCGGCCAATTCGCGAATCGACGTGTCAGGGTAGGAGGTCCATCAGCCTCCGATTGCCATCTCTTGGGGGCGTAGCTGTTACTTCCGCGGGCATCCCTAGGACCCCCCCCAACGTCGTGTTTTTTCGCGAAACGTCGACCCCCAGAGGCCTGGACGCCTCCCCCGGGGGACTGTTTTTTTCATCCCGCGGCGCTTTTTTTGCCAGTCCCGAGGCCCGTCAGGGGCTCCCTGGAGGCCGAAAGCGGCGCAAAACCTCGCGTCGTGTTATGTTGCTCCCCCATCGTACTTAAGGACCACATCCCAGAAACAGTTTCGAGCACCCGGAAACGCTGTCGAATCAGTATCGAAGCAGTGTCGACGAGTGCCCGACACGTGGAAACCCTCCAGTTTCGGTCCTTCTTCGGTGCTCGAGATTCTTTCTGGTGATCGAGGCCAAAGCGGGCTGGAACATCGTAACGCTTGGGGGCGGATCCGTTGCTGCCGCAGGCATCCCCAGGCCCCCGCAACGTCGTGACTTTCGTTCGCAGCGTCGACCCCCAGAGGCCCGGACGCCTCCCCCGAGGACGGGTCCTTCATCCCGATGGTATTTCTGGACATCCCCGAGGCCCGCTTGGGGCCCGTCGGGAGGCCGACGACAGCGAGCAAAAGCACCCCCCGCCGTGCCTTCTCACAGCCCGACTGGGCCTGGGTCCGCCGGCCTCCCGACATGCACCTCCGCCCGCGGGGGGCGCCCGCGCCGCCTCGGCTCCGCCGGGCCTCGGGGCTCTGCCGGCCCGGGCCAGGCCAGACCCGGGTCAGGCGGGCCCGGCAGAGGCCTGCCAGAGCCCGCAGGAACCCGCGCCCAGGCCCGGGTCGGTGCGAAGGATCCTGCAAGATCCCGCAGGATCCCGCGCCCCAGCCGGGGTCGCTGCGGCCCTGGCCCTGCAGGATCCTGCAAGATCGGGCGCTCCGGCGGACCCCCGCTTGCGTGGGCCCCCCTCTCGAGGCTCCCTGGGGCGGGGGCCGCTCCCCACCTGCTGCGCGCCTCTCCTCCTCATGGGGCGGTCGCGAGGCTGCCCCTGGCCTGGGGGAAGGGCCTTTGGGGTGCTCAGCGAGTTATATGTATGTATGTATGTATGTATGTATGTATGTATGTATGTATGTATGTATGTATGTATGTATGTATGTATGTATGTATGTATGTATGTATGTATGTATGTATGTATGTATGTATGTATGTATGTATGTATGTATGTATGTATGTATGTATGTATGTATGTATGTATGTATGTATGTATGTATGTATGTATGTATGTATGTATGTATGTATGTGTATGTGTATGTGTATGTGTATGTGTATGTGTATGTGTATGTGTATGTGTATGTGTATGTGTATGTGTATGTATGTATGTATGTATGCATGTATGTATGTATGTATGTATGTATGTATGTATGTATGTATGTATGTATGTATGTATGTATGTATGTATGTATGTATACATGTATATATACATATATGTATACATGTATACATATATATATATGACACCCTCAGGTTAGAGTATGTGCACATGTATACATAAACAGGAGCACCCGAGATATATGTATATATGTATGTATGTATGTATGTATGTATGTATGTATGTATGTATGTATGTATGTATGTATGTATGTATATATATATATATCTGTGGGGGCTCCCCCGCCCCGCGGGGGCCCGGGGGGGCGCCTTTGAGGCTCCCCCGCCCCGCGGGGGCGCCGCCGTCTCGGCTCCGCCGAGCTGCCGTCGCGTCTTCCGCCGGGGAAGACGTGCCGACCTCTCGAGCCTTCGGAGGCGAGGCCCTCCCCCGGAACCGCGGCAGCCATCTCCGCCGCTCTGCCGCCGGGAGGCACGCGCGAGTGGGAGTGCCCCCTCATCCTCCTCCTCCTCCTCCTCCTCCTCCTCCTCCTCCTCCTCCTCTCCTCCCCCTCCTCCTCCTCCTCCTCCTCCCTCCTCCCTCCTCCTCCTCCTCCTCCTCCTCCTCCTCCTCCTCCTCCTCCTCCTCTCCCCCTCCTCCTCCTCCTCCTCCTCCTCCTCCTCCTCCTCCCCGCAGCCCTGCCTCAGTCCTGAATCCTGCAGATTCTTCTCAGGGCGTGGATCCAGGAGGCCGCCAAGAGGCCCCCCCCCAAAACCCAAGAGGCCCCATCAGTTTCTCGCTGGTTTGTAAACAACTATGTACTTGCTTATTTGCTCACTTACTTTACACACACATATATATATATATATATATATATATATCTGTATATATATAGATATATTAAACTATATATAAGCACAACAATCAGCCAATCTGACAAGATGCCCCAGAACGGCCCCCAGGAGGCCTCACAACTGCGTCCAGGAGGCTCCCAAAGGCCTCCCAGTAGACCCCAACAGGCAGCCCTGAGGACACCGACCCACCACCCTGGGCACGGTGGCGGGTTGTGCAGAAGGTCATTCGGAGCGTGACGGCTGCATTGTTGATGCTTTCGGCGTCTGGGGGCTGGTTCCTGGCCCCAGGACCGTCAACACAATGCTGGCCCCGAGGAAGGGCCCCTCACTCGGCGGCGCGCACAGGAGCAGAGGGTCCCGAGTCAGGCCACGAAGAAAGAGCGACGTCGGAGTAGAGGGTCCCTCGCCTGCAGAAGCCCTGAACCCAAACATGTTCTCATCTCTCGGAGGCGTTTGTTTACTTTCGCCGCCTTCCGCCGGTTTCCGCCAGCGGAGGCGGCCTCGTTTACCTTCCGCCGCCCTTTCGCCGAGGAAGAGATGACAACTCCCTCGATCCTCGAAGGCAGCGCCATCTTTGGGGCGCCTCACATCTAATTACACGAGTGTGTCTAGCTGTACCCAGACATGCGACGTGCTGTCTTTGGCCGCACGGGGGTCCCCAGAAATCCCAACCCTTTCCCAGTGACTGGCTTTGTGTTGCTCCCACCATACTGAAGGACCGCAGCCCAGAAATAATTTCGAGCACCCAGGAACGTATCAAAACAGTGTCGAACGAGTATCGCCTCCCAGGGCCTTACGCGTGAAAACCCTCCAGTTTCGGTACTTTCTTGGTGCTCGACATTCTTCCTGGTGGCCGAGGCTAAATCAGGTTGGAAAATCATAAGACTGGCTTTTCATCCTGAAGACGTGCGCGAGGGCATCAAATCTCTAGAGGCCTCCTAGATGGGGTCCGAGTATATGAAGTCGGAGGATCGCGCCGCATCGCCGATGCATCACCGATACATCGATGATGCGCATCGACGATGCCGCTGCGACGTCGGCGATACATCGGCGACATAGGAGTGGGGAAACACGTGCTCCACATCGAGCCGCATCGCCGATGCATCGGCGATGCGGCGCGATCCTCCGACCCCATCTACTCGGACCCCATCTAGGAGGTCTAGAATTAAGTCGGGCGTGTCCCGTTACAGGGAGATTTTCGACGAAAAATATCAAGTTACCCAAACAAGCACCAAACATGCTCAACAAATGCCCAAACATAGTCAACAAATAGTCCCCATACGATCTTTTTTGACTATTTTTGAATATTCCCCCTGTCAAGGGACAGGCCCGACATAAGTCTAGAAACTCTCGACGTCGGCGCCGCTCGCGCGGGGGCGGGAACGGGGACCACGGGGGCCTGGGGCCAAACATATTAAACAAATATTCCCCATATAATTTTTTCTGACTATTTTTGAACATTCCCCCTGTAATTAGAGGGACAGGCCCGACATAAGTCTAGAATCTCTCGACGTCGGGGACCACGGGGTCCCGGGGCCCCCCAAACCAGGGGGGGGGGCCCTGGATCTGGCCGAGGCCGGCGCGGGTTCCCTCAACAACGCCGACCGCGGCATCCCCTGTGTGTGTGTGCTTCCAATTGGCCATAGGTCTCAGCCAGCGCCCATACGTGTGTCCATTATACCTATACACATAAAAAAACAGAGAGAGAGGGAGAGAGAGAGAGAGAGAGAGAGAGAGAGCGAGAAAGAGAGAGAGAGAGAGAGAAACACATGTATAATATACATATATATATATATATATATAATATATATAGAGAGAGAGAGAGAGAGAGAGAGAGAGAGAGAGAGAGAAAAAAGAGAGTAGAGAAAGAGAGAGAGAGAGAGAGAGAGAAAAGAGAGAGGGAGAGAAAGAGAGAGGAGAGAGAGAGAACAACAACAACAACAACAGAAAGAGCAAGCCAAAAGAGAGGAGGAGAGAGGGAGGAGGTAGGAGGGAGGAAGGATATGAGGAGGAGGGAGGAGGAGGAGGAGGAGGAGTAGGAGAGGAGGATGAGGAGGAGGACGGAGGGGGGAGGGGAGGAGGAGGAGGATGAGGAGGAGGAGAGAGGAGGGAGGAGGGAGGAGGAGGAGGGAGGTAGGAGGGGAGGATGAGGAGAGGAGGGGAGGAGGAGGAGGAGGGAGGAGGATGAGGAGGAGGAGGAGGAGGAGGAGGAGAGGAGGAGGAGAGGAGGAGGAGGAGGAGAGGAGAGGAGGAACCTCATGATACATTCAACCGCGGGCCCCAGAAGTCTCGGTACGTCCTGGACACATTTTTGATGGCTCTGGGCCCGAAAAGCGGCCCACGGGAGGGCGAGCCTGGGGAAAGAAGCGCCAGGGAGTGAACAGATCAGTATCTGATGGAGGGCCTGGGTGGGGAGGGTTGGGCTGGCAAGTGCCTTGAGATCCGACATCGCACACAACACTCAGGATCGAAAAAACATCACGACCGGAGCCCTTGATCCCACCTTTCTGCTGTACTCTTCGAGCCGGAACGACCTGCGATGGCGCGGGGTCCCGAGACCAGCCGAAAACGCCTGGTGTGAAAACAAATGCAGCTCCCGGATCTCAGGGTGTGATGAGGCCCCGCCATCCACCTTCGCCCTTGCCAGCGACGCCCGTGGGCAGCGGATCGGCGTGGTCGGTCGGCTCCGGCGACCAGGCGCCCAGGCTGAACAGCTCGGGGTCCTCCGTGGGGCCCTCCTCGTCGCCGTCCTCACCAGCCGCGCCGCCCAAGCTGAACACGCAGACCTCGCTGCCCTCCTCTGGCGAGGGCGGAGGGCGGCGCCAGAAGAACTCCAATCAGGCGTGCTCGCGTCTTGGGGCAAGATCGCGACGGAAGGTCTTCGGCCGCGTTCGGCCCCCGAGGGCCCTCGCTGGGCCTCGGGACCGCCAGAAACGACTCAAAACGAAGACTGGGCCCTGGGGAACTGGTTGGGACCTGGGACTTCCGGGGGCACCGCGTACTCTGGGATTCCTGAAAGGCGTGGAGGGAGTACCCCCCCGACGGGGTCAACCTCGCCTCGTCGTCGCGCCGCGACGGGGGTCGGAGCGCCTTCGGCGCGCGGTGGCTGCCCGCGACGGGGGTCGCTGTGGGGCTGTCGGCGGGGGTGACGCCCTGACGCCCCCCCCCGACGCTTAGTGAGCAACTCGGAGTACCGAGGCACGAGTCACGACATCGCGTGGTCTGGGGCCTTCTCTCGCCGCGGGTGGGGGAACCTGGCCCAGGGGGGCCGCGGGAGAGCCCCCACGCCCGCGAGCGGCCACCGTGGGGGGGCGTGCGGCGGGGACGCGCCGCGACGACTCGCGCGGCGGCTTCTAGCACCGCCGTGGGTAGAAGACAAAACACACATCAACAGAAGTTTTTTGGCGCTCCGCGCGGATTTCTTGGATCCGCGCCTGGGCCTCCTGGCGGCGCCCAGGCGCGGATCCAAAAAATCCGCGCGGAGCGCCACAAATTTATGCTGATGTGTTTTTCCTTCTTCGAATCGGCCGTTCGACACTGAACGATCGCAGCTTTCCGATCGCGCCGGGTCGCTCGAGCTCGGCCGGCTCTGGGCTGCTGGCGGCATTCGACCCTGAACGCCCACGCCGGGGTCGCCACCGCGTCGACACGACACGAGCCCACCCTACCAATATGAGCTGTCCGGCCGCCCCCGGGTCACTTGGATCGCCGCGGGGGCTGCTGAGAGGAGAAGGGGGTTAGGAGTGGATGTTTGGGTGTGTCACATGTGGCCTGACCTAGCCTATAAGTTGGTTGCAGATGCCCTAGTGGCTTGAGGGCGTACAGAGCTGGGCTAAGTGGACGGAGCCCACTCAGCGGCTTATCCCTCCCCATGCCACTCAGCCACTCAGGACACTTGTGATCCAAGCAGCACACTTCCGCGGACCTCCAAGGACCTCAAGAGACCTCTCGGCCCCTCCTCCTCTAGAGACCGGAGACCTCCAGAGGCGCCCAGAGACCTCCTCCTCCTCCTCCTCCCTCCTCCTCCTCCTCCTCCTCCTCCTCCTCCTCCTCCTCGCCCTCCTCGTCCTGGTCCTGGTCCTGGTCCTGGTGCTGGCCCTGGTCCTGGTCCTGGTCCGGGTCCTGGTCTTGGTCCTGGTCCTGGTCCTGGTCCTGGTCCTGGTCCTGGTCCTGGTCCTGGTCCAGGTCCTGGTCCTGGTCCTGGTCCTGGTCCTCGTCCGCGTCCCCGTCCTCGTCGTCCTCGTCGTCCTCGTCGTCCTCGTCGTCCGCGTCGTCGTCGTCGTCGTCGTCGTCGTCGTCGTCGTCGTCGTCGTCGTCGTCGTCGTCGTCGTCGTCGTCGTTGTCCTCCTCCTCCTCCTCCTCCTCCTCCTCCTCCTCCTCCTCCTCCTCCTCCTCCTCCTCCTCCCTTGGGCGTTGCCTACTTGGGAGGGGGCGACCAAATGGGGGGGGCAGAGACTCGCTCACCTCTCGTGCCCCTTCTGGGCCCTCCAGGGGGGTCGTCGTGCTTGGCCCGGCGCGGGGCGCTGCAACCGCCCCTCAACAGCCCCTCCCCCCCGCAGCGACACGGGCTGGCGCCCCTCCCCGCGGCGGCGGAGAGCA